TGAGTCAAGAATTTCAACACAATTAATAAAACCTGCAGTGAAGACTGCCTCTATGGAAACAACCATCTTGTACACGGAATTGCTTCCAGTGAGAGTCATCGGGGGATGAAGGCTTGACTCAGCACCCAGGACCCGCGTTCTGTCTGTTCTCAGCGTCCACACCAGGCAGCCCGCAATCATCTGTACTTCTAGCTCCAGGGGTTCCCACGTCTGCTTCTAGCTTCCGGGAGCACCCGCACACACTTGCATACACAACCAGACACCTACATGTCTACATGAATAAAGAATAAAAATAGCCGGGCGTTGGTGGGGCACGCCTTTAATCCCAGCACTCGGGAGGTAGAGGCAGGCGGATCTCTGTGAGTTCGAGGCCGGGCTGGACCGACAGCCTCCAAAACAATACAGAGAAACCTTGTCTCGTAAAACCAAAAAAAAAAAAAAAAAGAATAAAAAGAATCTGAGCCGGGCGTTGGTGGCGCTCGCCTTTAATCCCAGCACTCGAGAGGCAGAGGCAGGCGGATCTCTGTGAGTTCGAGGCTAGGCTGGACCGACAGCCTCCAAAATAATACAGAGAAACCCTGTCTCAAAAAAAAAAGAACCAGTCTACGGCAAAAAAAAAAAAAAACAAGAATAAAAATAATCCAAGTAGCCAAAGACCGTGCTTACAGCCACAGTGGACGTTACCTCCGAATGGAACTTTATTCCTTTCCTAAAAGCTGGAAACCTTTCTGGCACAGCTGTGGCCAACAAGACCTCAGGGAAGCAAAGGTAGCCTGCACCGAGCCTGCACAAGATCGTTGTAGTCAACTGCCAATCATGAATCTGGGCGGGGCTCACAGGGCTCCTCCCTTCTGCACGGGACAATGGACGACGGGTGTTACAGGGACCGGACAATCGTTGTCTTGAGTTGTCTGGCCAACAGGGAGTCCACCTGGCTCCAACGAGTAGTTCTAAACTTGTGGTCATGCTAACAACGCTAGGGAGAATCAGTGAGCAACAAAACAAAATGAAATAATGCAGACCTGGAAAGGGACTCATGGGAAGGGGGAGGGAACAGAGGTGCGGGGGGGGGGAAATGAGAGGGTTGGGATGTTAATCAGAGTGTGTGTGTGTATGTATGTGTGTGTGTGAAATTATCAAAGACAAATTTAGGGGCTGGAGAGATGGCTCAGAGGTTAAGAGCACTGACTGCTCTTCCAGAGGTCTTGAGTTCAATTCCCAGCAACCACATGGTGGCTCACAACCATCTACAATTCAATCTGGTGTATATGTAATAAATAAATAAATCTTTAAAAAAAAAAAACAAAGACAAATTTAATGGATAGCATTGTAGAACAAACATATTCCATAAATATAGTAGTAGTAATGTTGTCATTTATCCTCAAGCATTGCGTATCGTGCACCAATTGTATCTGCCGCCTTTCACTAGGCTTGTTTATTCCGGCATTGCCACACACGGGACAGCAGTGTTCTACTGCAGCAGTGATGGCTTGGAGGACCTCACTAGGAAACGGGGCTTTTTCAGCCTCGTCGTAGTCTTCAGTGTGTGTGGTCTGCCATGGCTAGTCTTCAGTGTGTGTGGTCTGTTATGGCTAGTCTTCAGTGTGTGTGGTCTGTTATGGCTAGTCTTCAGTGTGTGTGGTCTGCCATGGCTAGTCTTCAGTGTGTGTGGTCTGCCATGGGTAGTCTTCAGTGTGTGTGGTCTGCCATGGCTAGTCTTCAGTGTGTGTGGTCTGTTATGGCTAGTCTTCAGTGTGTGTGGTCTGCCATGGCTAGTCTTCAGTGTGTGTGGTCTGCCATGGCTAGTCTTCAGTGTGTGTGGTCTGCCATGGGTAGTCTTCAGTGTGTGTGGTCTGCCATGGCTAGTCTTCAGTGTGTGTGGTCTGCCATGGCTAGTCTTCAGTGTGTGTGGTCTGCCATGGGTAGTCTTCAGTGTGTGTGGTCTGTTATGGCTAGTCTTCAGTGTGTGTGGTCTGCCATGGCTAGTCTTCAGTGTGTGTGGTCTGCCATGGCTAGTCTTCAGTGTGTGTGGTCTGCCATGGGTAGTCTTCAGTGTGTGTGGTCTGTTATGGCTAGTCTTCAGTGTGTGTGGTCTGCCATGGGTAGTCTTCAGTGTGTGTGGTCTGTTATGGCTAGTCTTCAGTGTGTGTGGTCTGTTATGGCTAGTCTTCAGTGTGTGTGGTCTGCCATGGGTAGTCTTCAGTGTGTGTGGTCTGCCATGGGTAGTCTTTAGTGTGTGTGGTCTGCCATGGCTAGTCTTCAGTGTGTGTGGTCTGCCATGGGTAGTCTTCAGTGTGTGTGGTCTGCCATGGCTAGTCTTCAGTGTGTGTGGTCTGCCATGGCTAGTCTTCAGTGTGTGTGGTCTGCCATGGCTAGTCTTCAGTGTGTGTGGTCTGCCATGGCTAGTCTTCAGTGTGTGTGGTCTGCCATGGCTAGTCTTCAGTGTGTGTGGTCTGCCATGGCTAGTCTTCAGTGTGTGTGGTCTGTTATGGCTAGTCTTTAGTGTGTGTGGTCTGCCATGGGTAGTCTTCAGTGTGTGTGGTCTGCCATGGGTAGTCTTCAGTGTGTGTGGTCTGTTATGGCTAGTCTTCAGTGTGTGTGGTCTGCCATGGGTAGTCTTTAGTGTGTGTGGTCTGTTATGGCTAGTCTTCAGTGTGTGTGGTCTGCCATGGGTAGTCTTTAGTGTGTGTGGTCTGCCATGGCTAGTCTTCAGTGTGTGTGGTCTGCCATGGGTAGTCTTCAGTGTGTGTGGTCTGCCATGGCTAGTCTTCAGTGTGTGTGGTCTGCCATGGCGTCACTATGCCGAGGGTGTCTGTTCCTCCCCAAGGCTCTGCAGACTGTGGGCATTCTGAGGGTGGACCGGCATGTCTTATCTCCATACTTAGTCCCTGACACCTTACACAGCAGACCTTACTTAGAACAAGTGATAAAAGGAGATGAAAACAGCCGGGTGACGGTGGCACATACTTTTAATCCCAGCACTCGGGAGGCAGAGGCAGGCGGATCTCTGTGAGTTCGAGGCCAGCCTGGTCTACAGAGCAAGGACAGCCAAGACTACACAGAGAAACTCTGACTTGAAAAACAAAAACAAAACTAAAGTAAACTAAAAAATAATAAGAAGAAAGAAAGAAAAAGGAAGGGAAAAAAGAAAGATAAGATTCCTACTTTGAAGAAATTTGTGGCCTAGTTTCAGAATTGGTACTGACAACAAAACCCAGTTATTCTTGCCAGGTGACGTAGGTGACAAATGAGCTCCCCATCACCCAGGAGACAACATCTAAACTGTATCATCCCCAGAGCCCTCTGCCACCTTCCAGCCAGGCTCCAGTCAGGACTCTCCAACCAGCCCTCTGCCCTCCAGTGCTAAATGCTCCAGGCATTTGTGAATATCGCGCAACAGTGTTTATACTGTGTCCTGCTCCATCCGTGTTAGCCCCACGTTGCAGGGGTGTGGGGGTTTGGAGGGTGGAGGGCCGTATGTCGCAGACCGGTGTTTGCTGGGCTGCCATCGGGACCAGCCGAACAGCCCTGGGTCCATTCCTGAATGGGGGAGTGTGGATGAGGGAAGGCTCGCTATGGGCGTTAAAGGAAAGACGGAGACATGGGATCATATCGTGAGGGCAGGATCAGCTAACACTGAATGAGCCCAGTTTATTCATGCATCATCTTAAGTAACCAACCGAAGGTGGGGGCGATGGCAGAAGATTTCTGTTATCATGTGTGAAGGGCAGACAGCAATGACTTCCCTTAATCCTAAAGACACTCCGCAGCTGCGGGTACTACTCAGCCGTCAGGAGCCCCACAGCTGCTTGTATCCCTAGCTTCAGGATGAGTGTCAACGTGCCTGGGCCCAAGTCTGTCGTTATTTAGATAGGAGCCATTTACCAACGAGGCCAGGGCAGCCTGTAGCCATTAAGCCCATATCTTAAAGACAACAGGAGTGACTTGAGCTCTCTGAACTCAAGGCAGGATGGAATAGATTTCCAATATACAGCCCCAGACACACTGTTGCGGTTAGAGGTCTCCCACCTCCTATTGGGGTGGTTCACCGGTTAAGCCAAAACTCTCCAGTGATTTTCTCCAGGAAGTGTAATCCGATACCCTGGCCTGTGGAGGAGTCCCTGACCTGTCCTGAACTGGACCTGAGGGGACCACCATCCCAGCCTTCACTGAGGCCTGCCTTCTTGGCGTGGCGGGGTGGGGAGCATGTATCGTGTTGTGTCTTGAGCACAGAGGACAACTTATGGGTGTTGGTGGTTTTCTCCTCCCAACACGTGAGTCCTGGGGAATAAAACTCAGGCTTCAGGCCTGGCGGTAAGCGCCTTTACCAACCGAGCTGCCCTGCCTGGCCCCCACTCCAACAAAGCTTTTCAGTGATGATAAACGAGCGTTTGCCTCTGGCTTCCGGCTCTTCAGCACCTTGGTCTTCCTGTTTTCACTGCGTCTTTCCTTCCCTGCCCTTGGTTTCCTTCCTCTCTTCCCCACGGCTGCTGTGGAAACCTCCCAGCCAGGGGAGAGGCAGACAGAAGGCAGAGGCGGGCCAGGTGTAAGAGAACAAGGTATAAAGATATCCCGTAGTGACTCCCAGATCTTTGTTTGCTGACCAAAGAGAGGGAAAAGGCCTTCCAAGAGGAAAGCTTCCTATAAACTCGTCCTCGTTGAAGCACATGACTAATACGAGATGACATGTTGCCACCACATCCCACCTGATGTTAAAATGCCTAGGTTTACCCAGTAACCAGACACAGACCGCGACCCAACCATCCCACGTGGAGTTTATTGGGATACATGGAGGGACAGGAGGGTGAGAGGTAACCAACCTGTGCAGAGCTGAGAGAGAGAGAGAGAGAGAGAGAGAGAGAGAGAGAGAGAGAGAGAGAGAGAGGGGAGAGAGAGAGAAGATATCAGAGAGAGACAGAGAGAGAGAAGATATCAGAGAGACAGAGAGAAGATGAGATAGAGAGTAAAGGAGAAAGCAAGAGAGAACATAAGCGGGCAGGGTTAGTCCTTTAAAGGGGTCCTTTGCATCTGTGTGGTTCTCACAGAACTCTGGGCTGGCCAGAGAGCTGCCTGAGTGCATCCTGCCAGGTAACAGGGCAGGCCAGCCTAATGCCTGAACCTTTCACCACCACCGGTGGGAACTTTTATGAGCGACTCGCAGACTTCAAACTGAAGGAACAGGGCTATGACACTGGGGCTCCGGCATCGGTTAGAGGCGTGAGGGCTTGCTGGAACCTCCTCTGCTCACCCTCTGCGCTTCTCGGCTGCTGCTGGGAGACGGCAATAAAAATAAATAAATAAATAAATAAATAAATAAATAAATAAATAAATAAATAAATAAATGTGACTCGGAGAACACATGACCCAGCAGGGACGCTGCAGGAGCTGGGGTCAGTGGTCAACCCTTTGGGTTTTAACTTGTCCGAACTGAAATCTCAGGTTCACAGCTATGTGAGTGACCTCAGAGGGGTTCTCTCTCCTCTCCCCTCCTGCCTCTATCTCTCTCTGTCTCTGTCTCTCTCTGTGTCTCTGTCTCTTTCTCCCTCTCTCTCTCTGTCTCTTTCTCCCTCTCTCTCTCTGTGTCTCTGTCTCCCTCTCTCTCTCTGTGTCTCTGTCTCTGTCTCTGTCTCTGTCTCTGTCTCTCTCTCTGTTATACAGTGAGACTTGGGTAGCTATACTTCTTACCCAGAAACCCAGAGCGCCAAAGGAACATAGATGGTGACGCCACTTCCCTTATGGAGGGCTGGGAAGGCATGAAGCCCAACCCCATCACTTCCGGTACCATTCAGAAATGTAACTTGTTATTAGCATCAGTATGTTTGGGACCAGAGATGCTATTTTCTTTTTCTTTTTCTTTTTTCTTTTTCTATTTTGGTTTTTCGAGACAGGGTTTCTCTGTGGCTCTGGAGGCTGTCCTGGAACTCGCTCTTGTAGACCAGGCTGGCCTCGAACTCACAGAGATCTGCCTGCCTCTGCCTATGAAGTGCTGGGATTAAAGGCATGTGCCACCAACGCCCAGCCAGAGATGCTATTTTCATTTCTTTTATATATCTCAACCACCATCCTCCAGTTTGTTACCACGGCTACTGTTTCTAAAATGCTGAATGGTGGCCCATTCTTGCAGGAGGGCTAAGTCTTGGCTTTCTGGTGTCTAATGAAATTTACTTCATAACAAATAAGCTTTCCAACCGGGCGTTGGTGGCGCACGCCTTTAATCCCAGCACTCGGGAGGCAGAGGCAGGCGGATCTCTGTGTAGTTTGAGGCCAGCCTGGTCTACCTAGCGAGAGCCAGGACAGCCTCCAAAGCCACAGAGAAACCCTGTACAGAGAAAACCAAACCAAACCAAAAAAAAAAAAAAAAACAAATAAGTTTTCTGTAGGTAGAGATCTCACGTACCTGCAGCACTGACCACGCCAAATGGGTGGGGAGAGGCAGAGGTGAAGGTCAAGGTCAAGGAAGGAGGAGTCAGACTCTCTCTTGGGGCTGGGGTCGCGGTCAGGGGCCAGCAGAGCGCTGACCTCCATTCTCGGTTTCTCTCTCTAATGAAGTATCGTACGACTTCACTTCCCGGAATATTGGTGGCTCGGTACCCATCTTCAGCTTTCCTTCTCTCTTTAATTAACTGCTTCCTAGCCATCCTGGCTAGTTTTACACTAACTTGACAAAAGCTAGAGTCACCGAAAGGAGGTCTCCGTCAGATCGGGCTGTACTACCAGCCTGTAGGACATTTTCTCAGTTAGTGATGCATGAGGAGGGTCCAGCCCATCGTGGGTGGTGACATCCCTGGAACACTGGTCCTGCGTTATATAAGGAAGCAGGCTGAGCAAGCTAAGGAAAGCAAGCCGGTAAGCAGCTCCCTCCAAGGCCGAGGGTTCTTCCTGCAGTAGAGCAGAGGAAGGGCTGGTCCAGCCTGTCTCTTCCTGGGGGCTGAGCGGGCAGGTGAGTATCTACGACTCAGACCCTCCCCCCATTAGTTACCGGGGAGAAAAAACACACACTGAGTTGGGAGTCTGTCGAAGCAGGATCTCAGTTTATTCCAACAGGCAGGACTTATATAGGACTGAGGTAGGGGATGGGAATCTTAATATAGGGTAAGGTGATGTGAGTAATAAGGGCCAATAGTATTCCACCAAGCAGGCAGGTAGCTAGGCAGGGGGCAATCTTACATCAGGTCTGGCTGAGTCACCCCCATGTGGAGGTTACAGGTCAGAGACAGGTCGCCAAACTCTAGCTAGGCTCAGGAGCTTACACTGGGCCTCGAATCGGAGCCTTTCTTAGGCCCAACACACGGCCTCTTCATCAGCTCCTGCCTCTGGGTCCTGCCCTGTCTGTGTTCCCGTCCTTCCTTCCTTCCTCCCTCCCTCCCCCTCCCTTCTTCCCTTGATGAATTGTGACGTTGAAGTCTAAGCCATATAAACCCTCTCCTCCCCAAGTTGCTTTGGTCACCGTGTTTCATCATAGCAACAGTGACCCTAAGACAATAACAAATTCATTCTCCTTCTCTTTTTAGTTACTTAGTTGATGTGAGAGATCCCAACTCAACATTTTTAGACCTCTAGTGACTAGCCCATCACAGAGTGACTTGCCCTTCTGCCCTCTCCTGAGAAACCGGAGACCTCAAGATAAACCTAAAAGATAACCCTCCCTGATGCAGGAACTAGCTCACCACATCCCTGCTCAATGTTTAACTGTACAATGCCTAAAGAATGCTTGCTTGATATAACCTTCCTGTTAAGACATAAGCTATCATTTAATTTCCTCACCCGTTATGTTTATGATGTTTGCCTAACTCCCCGATTCAGTTTTTCCCTTTTAAAACCCCCAACTGCAGCTACTAGGGGTCGAACTCCTCTGCCCCTGTGAGGGTCATGAGCTCAGCCCCAGTGCACTGATTCCCCGAATAAACCTCGTGTGCTTGCAGCAAGAACAGTCTCTCTTGAATTATTGGGGCGTCGGCTTATCCCGAGACTTGAGTGAGGGTCTCCCCGGCTTATCCCGAGACTTGAGTGAGGGTCTCCCCACCCTCCCACCCCCCACCCCCCCCACCCGGCTCTAAGAATGATGCTTGCCTGTTGGTGTAAATGCAACTCTTCTGAGTGGTTTGAGTGCATCCCCGGCTGGTTCCAGAATTCAGAGAGATCTCAGGATGACCATGGGAGGGCGCACTTGGTGGGCTCTGAGCTGACCAGAGGCAGCTTCACTAGCCAGAGACCGATGCTCTCACATACACACACCTACTCCCCCATTACACCGACACACACGTGCACGCACACACACACATTCATGCACGCGTGTGCACACACACACACACACCCCACACTTCTAGCTTCTCTCCTCCTCTCTCCTCCCTCCCTCCAGGAGTGGCTGGCAGACATCCTAAGTTGTCCTCTGGACTGGCATCTGTAGACTCCTGCACTCTCTCCCCTTCAAGGGAGTGGATATCCAACCAACGCACACAACCTGCTTTCAAAACCTCTCTCAGATCCCACCCTGACAGCTGCCAACTTTGATGATGCCTTAATTACAGGGCCTCTGACTCAGGCTCTTTTAGCCCTGCCTGGTCCTATGGGAAGGTGCGAGAAGGAGCCTCTGCCCAGCTGGTGGTAGAAACAGCATGTCACCAACCAGGGAAAAGATGCAGGTTTCTCTCTGCGTTTCACAAACCCAGACAAGGGTCTGCTGCTTCCCCTAAGTCCTTCACTGTCTGTCTTTGCCAAGGAGAATTTTTTTTTTGTCCTTAACCAAATACAAAACCCTGAAGCAAATCAATGCTTCCACAGTGAGCTGATGTGACATCTCTTGAAGGAAATGAAATATTTAAAGACAGAGCTCTCTGTTTTCCCTCCTGAGGAAGAGACCCCATAATATTCCCATCAACCTTGACATGTGTGAATCATGGAGCTCTCATCCCTGCAGACGCATGATCGTGACTCACCACAAACCTGTGACTGTGGGCTGCACGTGATTCCGACAGTGAAGGCTTTCCCCAGGGAGCTGCGTGACGCCACCGATTGCTTCTTGAGAACCAACCTCTGCCTGCATCTTGACAAAGCCCAGGGATGGGTGAGGGGTAACCCTGTGGCAAGCCTTGCACCACGTGTCACCACAAGACTCCACAAGGGAGCATCTCCCTGATGCCACCGTGTGAACCAGACCTCTTCTTGGAGAAAAAAAAGAAATTTCTTTTTTTTTAATTTCAAGACTTGTTCGGGGAAAATGTATTATTACTTCTTAGAATGAACTTAAGTATACTTTCTATTCAATCAGTCATACCCACTGCTGGGCTTTCCACCAAAATGTCCATGTTGAAACTGAAACCGCTGTGTGGTGATACCAGGAAGCAGGAGTCATCGGAATCGATTAGGCCGTAAGTCCCTGTGAATGCATTCACGCCTTGATAAAAGAGACCCAGAGAACCCGATGCTGAATCAGTGAGGATACAGAGAAATGTTGTCAAAAGAGTCTTCACCGGACCCTGCCATGCTGGCATCCCGACTCCAGAACTCTACGAACTTGATTTCTATTGTTGACAAGGTCCCTGGTCCAGGGTCTTTCTGTGTAGCACTGCAAACGGACAAGGATGTCCATTTCTACGCACAGTTCAAGTTTAATCAACTACTGATGCGCTCCAATCACTCTCCACATACTTACTGCACTCTCCACTTTAACAGCAAAGACAGAACATGAAGATGGGGGAGAGGTGGACCAGTTGTTGTGCCCAAATCCGGAACCCCCAAAATCACCAAGAGGCCCATTTCGATGCAAAAGTAAAGAGTCTTTCATTGTTGTAGTTTAATGAGCTAACCCCATTAGCTCAGGCCTTTCATCCATCCACCCACCCACCACGGGGGAAGGCTGCCGAAAGACCCCGAGAACCCACGAGGCAGGCATCTTATAGGGCACCGTAAGGGGAGTGGCTAGGAGTACACAACAGTCTCAGGATTGGTGCGCTTCCAGGCTTGGACTACCTACCCTGTGTTGATTGGTCAGCTGGTTGCTATGGCCCATAGGCCCTCCCAGGGTGGTTGCTATGCTCTGCATGTCACTGTTGTGCACTTGTCTGAAAAGCACACCCAGAGCCGTAAAGCACAGGCCCACCACTAACTTCTGATTGGCTCCTGGCCACGAAGAGGGCATCAACCTCCTAGTGACCAGGACGGGAGGGGCAAGGTCATGCAAGCACATGTAGAGCAACTGTTGCTCTTGAGAGGACCCAGCTTCAATGCCCAGCACCCACATGGTGGCTCACAACATCTGCAACTCCAGTTCGACGGGATCTGACTCTCTTTGCACCGGGTATGCATGTACATCCATGTAGGCAAAACATCCATACGTGGCCGGGCGTTGGTGGTGCACGCCTTTAATCCCAGTATCGGGAGGCAGAGGCAGGGTTATCTCTGTGAGTTCGAGGCCAGCCTGGTCTACAAGTTCCAGGACAGCCTCCAAAACAATAAAGAGAAACCTTGTCCCAAAAACAAACAAACAAACAAACAAACAAAACATATGCTTAAAATAAAATTCTAAAAAGATTAACAAGACAAGGTAGGCACAGACAGCACCCCGGGTTGACCTCCAGACTGTGCATGCCTGCACACATGTGCGCCCACACATGTAGACCATGCCTTCGTCCCACAAAGGCCCTTCCTCCCCACTGCGGTCAACGTCTCCTGTTCCTGTTGCAGGCAGCGGCTGCCAAACCACCTCCTCGGCTGTGGATTAATTTGCCATTGTAGATCACGGTGTGCAGTCTTTGTGTCTGCCGTCTTCAGAGCGACACACTGTTTTGGAGAATCCCTAACGCTATTCCTCACGCTGCTCATTTATTTTAATGACAGGGTAGTATTCTGTGCTACGGATGTACAATTCATTCATCCATTCTCCTCTCGGCAAGTGTGCTTGGGCTGTTTCCAGATTTTTGCCACCAAGTGCAAACCGCCGTGAACAGGATATGAGAGTCCCTCTGTGGACACATGTACAGGACCTCCTGCTATGTACACCTACGGGTGGAGCAGAGCATATCCAGAGTGGGGTATGGTGGTGCGTGCCTTTAATCCCGTCACTCAGAAGGCAGAGCGTGGATGGAACTTTCTGCTCCACCTAGTACCGTAGCCGTTCAGTCAATAAACACAAAGAGGCTTAATTATAAACTGGCCGATGGCCCAGGCTTCTTATTGGCTAGCTCTCTCTTAATTATTAACCCATTTCTATTCACCTATGTATCTCCACATGGTATAGGCTTACCAGAGAATACCCAGGGGCCTATCTTCCAGGTAGCTACGTGGCATCTCCCTCTTGTGATTCATTCTCCCTGTTCCTCCTAATCTGATGGCCCTGCCTATACTTCCTGCCTGGCTACATCCTGCCTGTCCACTGGCCAAAACAGTCTATTCATCAACCAATAAGAGAAATAGGTATTTACAGCATACATAAGGACATCTCCTATCAGTAGAAGCAGGGGGATCTCTGTGAGTTTGAAGCCAGCCTGGTTTACACAGGCGTTCCAGCCGATGAGACATCGTCTAGAAAGAAAAAAAAAATTAAGGTAGGCATGGTGACACATAGCTATAAAATGGAAGTGGAGGGTCATGATGGTAAGACCAGCCTGGGATGCATAAGCGGGCTTAAAGCCATCTTAGAAGACAGACAGACAGACAGACAGACAGACAGACAGACATGTTTGTTTGTTGTTGTTGTTGCATAATAACTAAGAGGATGTGGGACAGGAAAGATGGCTCAGCGGTTAAGAGCATCAGCAGGTCTTCCAGAGGATGGGAGTTTGGTTCCCAGCATCCAGGGCAGGCGGCTCACAACTGTCTGTAACTCCAGCTCCAGGGGATCCAACACCCTTTTCTGGCCTCTTGAGAGACATTTCCAGGTCAGAGAGCCAACAAAATGGCAACAGGCTCTCCAAGAGAACTTATGTACATTTCTAGGGAGGAAGACCTTACAGTTCTCAGTCTTCTAGAATAAATGCTCCAAGAAACAGAAAGGAAAAGCCGAGAGGGGAGAGAAGTCTGCTTGGCTTTCTGGTCTGGACCTCGAGGTCCCCTGACAGCCTCCCAGTGCTGGTGTCCCAGACACTGGCCGCCACTCCCAGAGCTTGCTCTCAGTGAGAATCGAACCTCACTTCATGGGCATGTGTCTTTACATGTGTCTACAGTGGTTTGTTTGTTGGGTGATGGTTCTGGGAATAGAACAAAGGTGTCGAGCCCACTGAGCCACGCCCCAGCCTCTGATTGCTTCTCAATACAGTACTCATAGAAACCAACGCCCGGGTCTCAGCTCTCCACCAGGAGCCCCGACTTTGGCATAGGCGAGCGGTAGGCCGGAAGCCGGTAACCATGGCAGCCTTCGGTTTGGCCGGTTCACCCTGGCCACCCCAGCCCAACACACTCTCTCTCCCTCAAGCTCATGTTTATTCATGAGGAGGCAGCTCCTGGCAAACCACCCTTCACTGCCTCCCGCTGCTCGCTGGTGTGGGGTCACCGCCATCCTCCTGGCGCCCAGCGCAGTCCTGAACGGACCCCTCACCTCGGAAGGCACCCAGGGTCTGGGAGGACACAAGACTGACTGCCTTGGTGACAGGCGCTGTTTTGGTCACACATTAGCTCCAAGCATGGCCATGACCCGCACTCCTGAGCTGAGCTGATTCTCCTGCCGCTCTGTCTGAACAGACGTCTGTAAATGGCGCTATTCAGTCACCACCGCTCCGTTCTCTCAAAAACGCTACCAATTCCTCCATGTTTCTAACTGCAATTGGGTGGCTTCCCTTTCCAGTTAGCTCAAGTGGCCTCTTTCCTGACAATGGTGGCTATAATTACGCTGCACTTAGCTCCTAGAGGACTGTTTTAAAATTTGGAGGATGGACAGACAAGGTGACCTTTCCCACCCGTTTTTTCCTGTGCTTGTTTCTGAGGAAGAGAAAGACAGTTCTCGTGGTCCAGAGGTACAGCCGGCAACCCTCCTGCATTCCCTTTATTGTCTCTGAGGCGGTGCAGACTGGCTGAGTCAGGAGGTTCGGGGCCAGTGAGCACGTATTTGGTGATGTGTGACGCCGTAGGAGGAGAGAGATGCTGATACTGTCATTATTTAAAATCACTTCCACCCACCAGCTGAGTCACTGGAACGTCACTGCTTAGGATTTTGCATCAGTCTCAAAAATATCCCCGTGCGAAGCCTCCCTCCCTCCCTGGGTGGCATGCCACGCTTCCCTCAGAGGGAGGCAGTGAATTTTCCACAGAAAACACTCCTTTTGCATTGCCCTGACCTCACGATGCCACCCACCTGTGCAATACCTGACCTGGTCAACCTGACAGCTGAGGGGGGCCAAGCAAATACCTGTACTTTCCAAGAAGATTCTAGAAGGTTAAAGATCGGGCCCCCATCTAACTAAAGAAGTCCGGACTAGAATCCAGGGTTCCTCCCTTCTGGCCTTGCCCTGAACTGACAACAGAGGGAATAAGACTCTTGAGACCGAAAGTAAGAATCTCTTTCCAGAATAGCATCACTGGTAAAACAGCAGCTGGCTGAATTGACTGGGTTACCTTACATTCAACTGCAGACCTCAGAACAGGCTAGAGTGCTCCCCAGACCTCAGTACAGGCTAGAGTGCTCCCCAGACCTCAGAACAGGCTAGAGTGCTCCCCAGACCTCAGAACAGGCTAGAGTGCTCCCCAGACCTCAGAACAGGCTAGAGTGCTCCCCAGCCTTCAGAACAAGCTAGAGTGCTCCCCAACCTTCAGAACAGGCTAGAGTGTTCCCCAGACCTCAGAACAGGCTAGAGTGCTCCCCAGACCTCAGAACAAGCTAGAGTGCTCCCCAGACCTGAGAACAAGCTAGAGTGCTCCCTGCCCCCAAGTCTTTTGAGATCATGAGTAATAATCGCTCCCTGCTCTCCAAGCTCAAAAGAAGACCTTCCCGGGGAAGACCTGGCCGCTCTCAGGAGCACCATGGAGAAAGTCCAGAAGGGAGGGCAATTTTCCCCCCAGTGGGGGTGGTTAAGGTCTCAGCTCCGGAGCCAGGCAGACTGGAGGAGGGCTGTGTGGCTGGCTCTGTCCTCAGCCTCCTGCCACCAGGGTCAACACAGGGCTGCTCGGAAGATTAAATGAAGTGATGACTGGGGGGCTTAGCTCAGGGTGACACTCACCAGACCCTCTGCAAACGCTGCAGCCGCTACCGTGAATTCATGAGTTACCCCAGCCGCGTGGCCACGTGGTTCAGACGCTGCAAGCGGTGGGTGTGGTCTGGCTCGTGAGGATTTTGAGCACTAGCTTTTGTGCCCGGGTGTCCTGGGTCTGAAGCCAGAGCCTCTTGTAGGGATGCGTTCTATCACTGAGCTACACTCCCGGCCCCAGGCAGTTTACTTTTCAAAGCATGACTTAAGTTTAATAATTACTTAAATATCTGTTAAATTTAAGATGTGGTGTTCAATTCCTAAGCAGTTATAAAGATCAAGGTATCACAGCAAGTCTGTACTGGGGAAAATATTTTTCTCCTTTATCGTATGGGTGGATAGAGCCCCTACTGTTGGGAAAGCCTGACCTACTGGGTTTGATGGTTTTACTTTGGTGTGGTGGAGTTTGTGGGCTTGATCTATTCAATTTGCAAACTCTTGATCCCCTTCTAGAAGGATCCTTGGCGAGGCTCAGGAGGAGCGGTTACTGCACCCACATGCACTAACACCCGCCTCTCCAGGGTTAAGAGCGTGTGGGGAGCAGGGCAGGAGTCTGAGGCGCCGCCCTCCTCAGAGGGTTGACAGTCCTCTCGCTGACCTCTGGCTGGGACCTGTCACACCTGGATCGTTACTGATCAACCTGAAAGCGTCTCCATTCTGAGTGTTCTCTGCTGTTCTGCCACAGCCATTCTGGGTGAGATGCGGTTCCCACCGGAACCTCAGTCCCTGGCTGTTTCCCTTGTGACCTCACACCAGCGTGGTCCCGCAGAGCCTGCAGCCGGAGCAGACAAACTCCTGCACTGACATTTACAACTCCTTTCAATCTTGTTTTCCAAACTCCAGTTTAGTGAGATGGTGGCAAGAATGAGAAAAATTAAACCCCAAGTGCTTGGCTAAGTGTCCCCATTAGGTCCCTAAGAAACCAGGACAAATGGCAAACTGAGATGTCTACTGTCATAACAAATGGATGATGGCCACGGGCTCCCTCAGCATCACAAGCACCTGTTACAGAGACCTGATCCTCTCAGTGCTACACACACACACACACACTGCACACACCACACACACGCACACACATACACACACTGCACACACCACACACACTGCACACACACTCACACTGCACAACACACACTCTCACACCGCACACACACACACCACACACTGCGCACACTCACACATACACCGCACACTTACACAATACACACACTCACACTGCACACACCACACACACACATACACTCTCACACCCACACCACATACTC